ACAGCTGCTTCTCATAAAAATAAATGAAAATCAGAGATCCTTCTTGAATACACTGAGTGTATGATCAAATATATTTTGAAAATATATTAAATATATTATTACAAATATCTCTAGTACGAAGTTTATACCAAATATAAAGCAAAATAAATGAGGCTGTAAATGAAGATGAGTATTTTAGAAAAAAGAAATTTTTTTTAACACAAGAGAGTTCAAAATTGCTTTCTCTGTATATTTTGATAATTGTATCTGAACTAAACTAAATAGGTTTAACCTAAATAGGTGAAACTAAATAGGTGAAACTAAATAGGTTAATTTAATTTATATATTTACTGTTTGTATATTTTATAAAATGAAATAATCGGTAATCTATTGCCAATAATTATATAAAAACTCGTATATTCCCCAATATAAAAGAAAAAGGTCTTGTCACTGATACCTAAATTTTACACCAGCCCCATTCCCTAGATGAAAATTGTTTGAGGTGTAATTTCTTAAAATACCCTCACTCACAAACAGCAGGCAGATTCTTGGACAGCTATGACATATTTCTGGTTCAGATTTAGAGTCAAACAGAGAATGAAACGTTGAAGAAATATATCCTTCTACTTTACCCCAATTTTTGTCACTATTCTGTATCCTTAGTTTCATATAAAAGAGTGATTTTGTTTTAACTTGATAGAGGTTACAAGACATGGGAAAATTTGATAATCACTCTAAATCTTCTTTCTCTCCTTCTCTGAGAAAAAAAATTATATACGAGGGGGGACTCAAAAAACCTGGAACTTATTTATAAAATATTGTGTAGTTATTTTTACATGTTTAAACTTCAGTCACCTTCAAAGTACTCTCCATTTGATGCAATACACCTACTGAGATGTTTTATCCACTGCTCTAAACAGTTTTTGAACTCCTCAATTTTGATGCCTTCTAGTGCTTCTAACATTTTTTGTTTCACCTTTTCCATATAGGTGAAACATTTCCCTTTGAGGACTTTTTTTATCCGGAGAAACAAACAAACAAAAAAAAATAAGTCACTCGGGGCGAGATCCGGTGGATGGGGAGGGTGGAGCCCTGGAGTCATTCCATTTTTTGTCAAAAACTGCTGAACACTCAGTGCAGTGTGGGCAGGTGTGCTCATAAATCATCCAATCATGAAATGGGCAACCACACTGAGTCTTCAAAAAATTCACTGAGGCCTGAACGTAGCCTCTGACAACAACACCAGCTGGTGCACTGAGACAGATGGGTTCCTAGAACACTCACCTAGCAGGGAAGCCTGTATTACAAGGGTCACGCCCTCCGGAAGATAATTCCAGTTTTTCTTGGTCCCACCTCATACAGATACCTGCACATACACATGTACTTCCCATAAGTCAATAAATGATTTGGGCAGTTCATTTTACAATAAAACCATTTAAGTGACAACGGTTGTATGATAAGACCTTTTATTTTTATTTTAGTATAAAATTAAAAATATTTAGTTTTTTAATTTGGAAACTGACGTACATAAATGTGTACTAGGAAATAAGCCAAGAAATAAACAGGAATGTCTTCATATGCAATGATGTCCATAATATATAATATAATAACATAACAATATAATATATATAATTAATATATTATAATATGATATAAGATAAAGTACACATACTATATATTACATATGACATATATAATATATAAAATCATATATTACTTTCTGACAAATTTGAATTGTTTTTTTTTGCACAATTGAGGTGTTGTAGTGAATTTTTATTATTTTGAGCACCTTTTAAAAAAGGAATTTCTGAGTACTGGAAAGACTGCATTTTAGGGGTACTTTTCAAATTTTAAAATACTAACACTCAGTATGAAATGGGTGAGAGTAAGGTAGATTAAATTGAGACTTGATTTTACTAATTTTTATCAGAATCCTCATTCATCTTCACATACCCTCAATGCTCTTACAGGCTTTGGTCCTCTCTATGATTAAAAATGATGAAGTATCCATATACGCTTGCATGGGGGACACACAGGCGTTATCATTTTCTCATGTCCGCAATAAACACTGAGTCTCTGATCTTGAAATTCCCTCCATATTTTCTGCACCCAAACCACCTCACTTACAAAGTGGCTTTCCTTTAGCTACTCAAACCAGCATTTCTCCCTCTTAATCAATCTTAATTTTTTTCTTTTGCTTAACGCTTGCAACAAATCATTTGTTAGATATTTAATGATAAAAGAATCAAGATGAGCATAGAAAGTAGATTTTCCTGAGAAAATATTTTATAGGGATTTATTCTGCTATACTTGGGGAAGATACAAGGTGGGGTCTGATATATTTGTACTTTGGAGTGACCCTAACTTTAAATGTGTTGGTATCACTATTACATTTAATTAGAAATTTGTTCTGTGGAGAAATGAATGTCCCAAGAACATGCTTTAAGTTCCCGCAGGAAGAGGAAGGCTCCTTGCTTGAGCAAAGCCCTGTCTGCATTTATAGGTATACCAGGAGCATTTTCAATTGCCTCATTTTAAAAAAAGAGTAGGCAACCAAAGATGACTAGAAAGTTGCACAGAAGCAACGTTATTGTAAGAAAACATGGTAAACATTAAGAAGGGTAAAACTGACCTAAGAAGAAAGAGTGGACGTAGGTCCAGGAATAACCATATAATTTGCGGGGCCCCGTAAAAATAAATACGGGTCCTGTTGTTCAATAATTATTAACAGGTGCAGGGGGTGGCTGAGCAGACGAGGGGATATTGCGGCTGCAAAACTCCCTCCAGCTAGGAGTGTAGGGGTCTCAACCCCATGCAGGGATCCCCAACCCAGAGCAACAGAGACAGGAAGAAGAGCCCATATAGCATCTGGCAGTGAAAATCAGCGAGGATTGTGTGCCTGGGAGACCCAGACACCGCCTTCCCAGGAACTAGCACCTCTAATGCCATAGCACCAGCCTGGGGAGTGTGCTGCCTGATCTCTGACTGCTGGCGAGCCCACTTTGCCTTCTGCAGGACCTGCAAAGAGGTCTGCTGGCCACACATACCAAGTACTCTGGGAGCCCTCTTTTTTGGGGGGAGGCTCTTGATGAAGATTTGAACAGTGACTAAACTGTGTAGCTTTGGAAAGAGCCAATCTCTCCCTCCTTGAATGTATAGATGGTGCCCCTTCCCCCACCTGCTGAATCACTTGGCCAGCCCCATCCTGCTGAGCTGAGCTGAGCTGAGCTGAGCTGTGCAGAGGGGCCAGAGTGCCATGCAGAGCTGTGACTTTCAGAGCGTGTCTCCCATAGAAGATTTTATCCAGGGACCATATGGGTGGGTTCTGGGCTGTGTGCTGGGGTGGGGATGGGGCACTCCTATCTCCCCTGCAAGCTCTGCAGGAAAGGGGAAGAAGTGTCCATGCCCCTCCTACAGGCTTGAGGGCTTGCAGGCACCACTCCCAATGGGAGACTGTTTAGACCAGTCCTTCCACACCCGGGATACCTCACCCCACTGGGCTCAGTTCCATGGAGGGAAGGGAGAGTGGCTCAGAGCTGGGACATTCAAAGTGGGAGACCCTTGGAGACTATTGTCTGGGACCAGGATGAAGTACTTAGCCCCCTCCTGTGAACTGGGCTGGCATCACCCCAAGTGGGGGACTCTTTGTCCCCTGAGCCTGGGGCAGCTGAGCTTGTTCCTGCGGAGGGAAAGGCTGGCTACACCCAATCTGAATGTGCAGTGAGCTCCTCCAAGGAGAACAAGAGTGGGAGACTCTGGCAAAGACTGAGTGGTTTGGCTTTGGAGCAGGGGCCACTTTCCCCTCATTGAGCACCTGACTGCATGATCCCCGAGTAAAGGACCCACTAGCCCTGTCCTCCTGACCCTGGTTGACCCTCCAACCACCCCACCAAGCTAATAACTTGTAAAAGTCCTTATGATTTGTGGCTAGCCTGGGCGCACTCTACAGTCTTTCTTTGGAAGGCTCTGGAGGAAGGTCAGGCAACCTCAAAGGGAGGCAGAGTAGCAGATAGGTGGAGGTGGACCTCACAGAGCCTAGGTCCTTTTACAGATCTGTCCCTAGCTCTAAGCCAACCCTTATATGCAGATCAGCCCTTTCCACACATGTCCAGTAGATGCAGCCACAATGAACAACATAGTTGCTCCAAACAGGTAGCCCAAGGCTGGTTACACACAATGTCTGACATTGACCTGTACTTGAACCTTGCCCAAGTGTACCCAGAACCAACAAAACCAATGGTGGGCTTCAGACCACACCAGAGCTCGACACAACTAGCCGCACAGTGGCACACCAAAATGGGGATTCTGGCAGCCACCAAACCTTGCTAGGAACAACTCTGCCAAGGGGCACAGCCCCTGCACAGCATCTCAAACATGGGGATTGAAGTTTACCCTTATAGTCAGCCAGCCTGAAGGGTTAGCTCCATGCACAAAAGGGCCAATAGCATTTAAGACTCAACTACAACAAGAGGGTATACATAATCCACAAGGAACATTCTGGGAACACAAAGCTCAAATGATCTGGAATATTGTACCACTGAGTCCAACCAGACACTTTCATCATAATGCCATAAAAACAAGTTTGGGATTCATAGAAGCTCTACCTAAGACACAAAGACAACATGGGAATACAAAGAAATATGCCCCAAATGGAAGAAAAAGAGAAATCCTCAGAAAATAATGAAATGAAGTAGCAGCAACAGAAAAACCAGATTCAGAGTTTAAACAGTGATAATAAAGATGATCAAAGACCTTAAGGAAAGAATAGATGATTTCAGTGAGAATGTAAACAAAGAAATAGTAAGCATTAAAAAGGACATGAAAACTATGAAAAAGAAGCAGTCAGCACTAAAGAATACAATATCTGAAATGAAGAATACACCAGAAGGAATCAACAGCAGGTTAGATGAAGCAGAGAATCTAGTCAGAGATTCAGAGAACAAGACAACAGTAAGCCCCATAGCAGAGCATTAAAAAGAAAGAGCCCCAGTGACAGCAGCTTCCTGGTCCCCGTCGTCGCAACAATGGCTGAAGAACAACCACAGGTCAAACTGTTTGTGAAGGCTGGCAGTGATGGGGCCAAGATTGGGAACTGCCCCTTCTCCCAGACACTATTCATGGTCTTCTGGCTCAAGGGAGTCACTTTCAAGGTCACCACTGTTGACACCAAGAGGCCAGACGAGACGGTGCAGAAGCTGTGCCCAGAAGGGCAGCTCCCATTTCTGCTCTATGGCACCAAAGTGCACACAGACACCACCAAGATCGAGGAATTTCTAGAGGCAGAGCTGTGCCCTCCCAGGAATCCCAAGCTGGCAGCTCTGAACCTTGAATCAAACACAGCTGGCCTGGACATATTTGCCAAATTTTCTGCCTATATCAAGAATTCAAACCCAGCACTCAATGATAATCTGGAGAAGGGGCTCTTGAAAGCTCTGAAAGTTTTAGACAATTACTTGACATCCCCCCTCCCAGAAGAAGTGGATGAGACCAGTGCTGAAGATGAGGGCATCTTTCAGAGGAAGTTTTTGAATGGAAAGGAGCTCACTCTTGCTGACTGCAACCTGTTGCCAAAGCTGCACATAATACAGATGGTATGTAAGAAGTACCGTGGATTCTCCATCCCTGAGGTATTCCAGGGGGTGCATCGGTATTTACGCAATGCCTATGCGAGGGAAGAGTTTGCTTCCACCTGTCCGGACGATGAAGAAATCGAGCTGGCCTACGAGCAAGTGGCCAAGGCTCTCAAATAAGCTTATCCTGGGGCTCCATCACGCCCCCTCCATTTTTCTCCACGAAGACCCCCAAGTGGTTTCCAGTGGACACACTCCAGTGGCTATCCAGTGGACACACTCCAAAATATCCAGTGAGAAGTGAATTATAGAGCAGGACTGCCTGGGGGATGAGGGGAAGGAATGGGGGATCTGGGTGAGATTTTTATTGTGGGTGGGATGGATAGAACAATGTATTTCAGTAATAAAACACAGAATGAAAAAAAAAAGAGACTTTTTTTTAAATGAAAAAAGTCTAAGGGATCTTTGGGACAATATCCAGTGTAACAAAATCTGACTTATATGGGTAGCAGAAGAAGAGAGTGAGCAAGAGATAGAGAACCTGTTTGAAGAAATAATGGCTGAAACCTTCCCTAACCTTGTAATGGAAAAAGTCACACAAATTCAGGAAGTACAAAGAGTCCCAATTAAGATGATGAAACAGGGGCCCATACCAAGACAAATCACAGTTAAATCAGCAAAGGTCAAAGACAACAGGAGAGTCATCATGTCAGGGAAGGAGCAACAGTTAGTTGCCTACAAGGTAATTCTCCTAAGGTTATCAACTGATTTCTCAACAGATACACATAAGACCAGAAGCAATTGGCATGAAATGTTCTAAGTGATGAAAAACAAGGTTCTGCAACCAAGACTCTCTATCCAGCAAGACCCTCATTTAAAATTGAAAGCAAAATAAAATGATTCCTAGACCAAAAAAAAGGTTAAAGGAGTTCATTACCACGAAACCAATATTTCAAGAAATGTCAAAGGGCCTGCTTTAAGGAAAAGAAATCGAGAGAGAGGGTGGAACATAGGCATAAAGGGAAAAAAAGGCAATAAATAAGTACCTAACAATAATAACCATAAATGTAAGTGGATTAAATGCTCCAATCAAAAGAATATAGTAGCTGAACAGATACAAAAACATGACACATATACATGCTGTCTACAAGAGAGACATATCAGAACAAAAGATAGACACAGACTGAAAGTGAAGGAATGGAAAAAAAAATTCTATGCAAATGAATATTAAAAAAATAGCTGGAGTAGCAATATTTATATCTAACAAATAGTCTTCAAAACAAAGGCTATAACAAGAGACAAAGAAAGTCACTGCATAGTACAAAAGGGATTGATCCAGCAAGATGAGTAAACTCATGTAAAACACATATGCACCCAACATAGGAGCACCTACATAGATAAAGAAAATCTTGGTGAACATTAAGTAAGAGATCGACAACAATACAGTCATAGTAGGAAATTTAAACACCCCAGTGCCATCAAAGAATAAGACTTTCCAGTCAAAAAATCCACAGAGTAATAGTGACCTTAAATAACACACTAGAATAGATGGATTTAATTGATATTCATAAAACATTTCATCCCAAAGCAACAGAATATATATTTTTCTCAAGTGCGCATGAAACAATCTCAAAGATAGACCACATGTTAGGACACAAAATAAGACTTATCAAATTCAAGAAGATTTAAATCATATCAAGTGTCCTGTTAAATCACAATGGTATATAACTACAATTAAAAAAACTGAAAAAACCTTCAAACACATGGAGGCTAAATAGAATGTTATTAAACAATAAATGGTTTAACGATGAGATCAAGGAAGTAACAAAAATTACCAGGAAACAAATGAAAATGAACACACAACGACCCAAAATATAAGAGACACAGGGAAAGCAGTCCTGAGAGGGAAGTTCACAGCATTACAGGCTTACCTTAAGAAGCAAGAAATATCTCAAATAAACAATCTATTCATTCACCTAAAAGAACATAAAAAAAATACAACAAACAAAGCCCAGAATAAGTAGAATAAAAAAATACTAACGACGAGAGAGGAAATAAATGGCATAGAAACCAAAAAGTCAATACAAATATTAATGAAACCAAAAGCTGGTTCTTTGAAAAGATAAACAAGAATGATAAACTCCTAACCAGATTTACCAAAGAAAAAAAAAGAGAGAGAGAGAGGACCCAAATAAATAATCAGAAGTGAAAAAAGGGAAGTAGCAATTGCAGCATATAAATACAAAGGATTTTAAGAAAATACTATGAACAAGTATATGCCAAAAAGTTGTACTACCTGGGTGAAACATACAAATTCCTAGAGACATACAATCTTCCAAAACTGAATACGAAGAATCAGAAACCCTGAATAGACTGATTGCAACTAACAATATTGACACAGTAATCAAAAACTGTAAGAAAACAAAAGTCCTAGACCCAATGGCTTTGCAGACAAATTTTTACCAAACATTCATGAAAGATCTAGCACATACCCTTCTCAAACTATTTCAAAAAATTCAAGAGGAGAGAAGACTTCTAGGGTTTTGTTTTATTTTTTAATGAGGCCAGCATCATCCAAATTTCAAAACCAGATAAAGGTAGTAAAAAAAAGTAAATTATATTACTTATCCCTGATGAATTTAGATGCAAAAATCTTGAACAAAATAATAGAAAACAAGATCCAGCAATCCATTTAGAAGAGCATACATACACCACAATCAAGTGGGATTCATTTTGGAGATGTAAGTTTGGTGCAATATTTGCAAATCAATAAATGTGATACATAAACAAAATGAAAGATAAAAATCGCATGACCATATCAATAGATGCAGAAAAAACATTCTTTAAATCCAGCATCCATTTATGATAAAAACTCAGCAAAGTGGAATTGAAGGATTATACCTCAACACAATAAAGTCCATATATGACAAACTTACAGCAAACATACTCAATGGGCAAAAACCAAAAGCATTTCCCTTAAGCCCAAGAACAAAACAAGGATGTTGATTTTTCACCATTTTTATTCAACAAAGTGCTGGATGTCCTAGCCACAGGAATCAAACAAGAAGACGAAATAAAAGGCATCTGAATTTGAAAGGAGGAAGTAAAGTTGTCATTATTTGCAGATGACATGATATTGTATATAAAAAACTTTAAAGACTCCTCCTAAAAAAATACTAGAAATGATCGATGAACTCGGTAATGTGGCAGAATACACAATTAATATTCAGGAATCAGTGGCATTTTTATATACCAATAATGAACTATCAGAAAAAGGAATTAAAAAAAAATTCCCACTTACAATTGCAACAACAACAAAATAATAAGGCATCTAAGAATAAATTTAACCAAGGTGGTTAAAGACCTGCACTTGGAAAATTTTAGGACATTGAAAAAATAAACTGAGGAAGATACAAATAAGTGGAAGCACACACCATGTTCATGGACTGGAAGAATTAATATTATTAAATTGTTCATACCACCCAAACCAATCTATAGATTCAATGCAATTGCAATTAAAATACAAATGGCATATTTCACAGATCTAGAACAAAAATTCCAAAATATTTATATAGAATGAATAAAGATCCCAAATTATCTCAGCAATTTTGAGAAAGAAGAACAAAGTTGAAGGGATCATAATACCTCATATCAAACTATACTACAAGGCCATTGTAATCAAAACAGCCTTGTAGTGTTATAAGAACAGGCATATAGATCAATGGAACAGAACAAAGAGCACAGAAATAAACCCATGCTTTTGTGGTAAATTAATATTGAACAAATGAGGCAAAAGTATACAATGGAGTAAAGACAGTCTCTTCAATAAATAGCATTAAGAGAATTGGACATGATATTAAAAAAAAAAGGAAGAAAGAAAGAAACTAGACCACTAACTTATACCACACAGAGGAATAAACTCAAAATGGATAAAAGACTTAAATATAAGTCACAAAACCATAAAAATCCTCGAGGAAAACCTAGGGAGTAAAATTTCAGATATATCTAGTAGCAATATTTTTGCTGATATATCTCCAAAGGCAAGGGAAACAATGGAAAATAAAAATAAATTGGACTATGAAAAAGCTTTTGCACAAACTAAGAAGTTTTTGTACAGCATAAGAAACCATCAACATAATGAATAGAGAACCTACTGTTTGGGAGAACATATTTATCAATGATATATCTGATAAGATATTAATTTCCAAAATATATAAAGAACTTATACAACTCAACATCAGAAAGACAATCCAATTAAAAAATGTACAAGACCTCAATAGACACTCCCCTGAAGAGGACAATAGACATATGGACAATAGACATATGAAAAAATGTTCAGCATCACTAATCATCAGACAGATGCAAATTAAAATAACAATAAGACATCACTTCACACCTGCCAGAATGACAACTGCTGACAAGGATGTGGAGAAAAGAGAGCCCTTGTGCACTATTGGTGGGAGTTCAGCTACTGTGGAAAACAGTATGGAGTTTCCTCAAAAAAATTAAAATGGAACTGCCTTTTGACCCAGAAACCCCAATTCTTGGAACATTCCCCAAGAGTCATGAAACAGTAATTCAAAATAATATACTCCTATGTTCATTGCTAAGTTACTTACAATAGCCAAGATTTGGAAACAGCCCAAGTTCCCATCAGTACATCAACAGATAAAAAAGCTGTGATACATTTACACAGTGGAATACTACATGGCTGTAATAAAGAAGAAACTTAACTTTTAAGACAGCATGGGTGGATCTGGAGATTACTATGTTAAGTGAAATAAGCCAGTCATAGAAAGACAATTACCATATGACCGCACTTAGATGTGGGACCTAATCATCATCCTTTAATGAACAAAACGAACTGACGAACAAAACCAAACCAGAGGCATGGATAAATGGAACAGACTTGCAGCAGGCAGAGGGCAGGGGGAAGGGGACAGTGGATGAAAGAAAGTGAAGGATTGGACCAAAAAAAAATAAAAGCATATGTACATATCACATAGACACAAACAACAGTGTGATGAGAGCCCGAAGAAAAATGGGGTGGGGGCCAGGTGGAGCTGGTAAAAGCAGTGGGGAAATGGGGACAGAAGGAGACTTTGCTTGGGGTGATGGACACACGATTCAGTGTGCAGATGATGATTTATTGAGTTGTACACTAAACCTGTATGGTTTTG